TGCCAAATGGTGATTTTTCTATTTTTACTATATATAGCTGGCATTATACTTTAACAAATAACCTCTTTTGTCCTATTTATTTTATATCAATATGAATGTGTGGGTTCTTATTTGGTTTGATGAGTTATAATTCATTATTTTTGCTCTTTTGATTTTTTTTTTTTTTTTTTTTGAGATTTGGTCATTGGCAGTTCATTCAAACTGGTTCCTGTGTTCTTTGAACATATCGTCATTTTTGAGCACTTCTTCCTTTTGGTCACAAAAAGCTGTTCCATGAAGACTGTTATTTTCTAGGGTGTTCTGGTTTTTCTAGTAGAGAAGGTATTTAGAAATCAATATCTGGTATGAAGCATGCTTAGTGATACCAGAGTATCATTGTTTGTAAGCTCTCTTCACAAAAAGAGATAGAAAACAGGTGTGTGTATGTGTGTGTGTGTGTGTGTGTGTGAGAGAGAGAGAGAGAGAGAGGGAGAGAGAGAGAGAGAGACCTACATATGCATATCCATATTTATATGTGGAACATCTTTGTCTATGAATCTATGAAGCTAAAAATGCATGTCTATGAACACTTCCAATTTCAAACTTCTAAAAATCGTAGACATAAAGGTAAATATAAGATTCACTTTTTATTAAATTTTTAAAAATTGTTTAAAAGGAGAGTCCAGAGCAAAGAAAGAAAGAAACAAACAAACAATGTATAGCATACATAACGAGTAAAATGTATGACAAAGACATAAAAAGTAAAATGTAGGGCTGGGGCTGTAGCTCAGTGGTAGAGCATGTTCCTAGCATGTGCGAGGCACTGGGTTCGATCCCGAGCACCACATAAAAATAAATAAATAAAATAAAGGTATTGTGTCCATCTACAATTAAAAAAATCTTAAAAAAATAAATAAATAAAATGTATAACAATAGTACAATAAAGGATGGACTGAGGGCTGGGGATATAGCTCAGTTGGTAGAGTGCTTGCCTTACATGTACAAGGCCCTGGGTTCAAACCCCAGCTCCACAAAAAAAAAAAAAAAAAAAAAAAAAAACGGGGTGGGGGGTGGATGGACTGAAGGGCTAGGAGTACACAATTGGAAGGTTCTTATATTATATGCAAAGTAGCACAAAATTATTTAGAAGAAGTAGACTATGATTAATTAAATTAAAAACTGCTAACCAGGTGGTAGATTTGAATGTAATATAAATAATTATATTAAATGTAAGTAGCCTAAAGACACCAACTAGAAGACAGAGATTGTCATGATTAGATTTAAAAATCATTTAAATACATATATTAAAATTAAAGGTAGAAAAAATACATTATCCAGAGGCTAATTTAAAAAAAAAAAAAGGAGGGGCGGGAGCTAGGGTGCCTGCAAGACACAATTCATCAAGATGACATAAAAGCCCTATATATACTTCAAACTTAGTTTGCCTCAAAATATATGAAGCAAAAACTGGTAGAAGTAAATGAGAAAATATCAAATCCAAATTTCAACATTTCTATATCAGCAATCAAAAGCAGACAGAAAATCAGTAAGGACACAGAAGACCTGAACAACATGATCAATCAACTCGATTTTTGGGACATTTATACAGAATCCACCTGCCAATAGCAGAATACACATTCTTTTCAAGAGCATATGGAAGATTCACCAAGACAGACTACATTCTGGGTCATATGACAAATCTCTGTAAATTTAGAACCAATTAAATCATACAGAGAATATTCTCTGGTTATATCAGAATTAAAGTAGAAAAAGTAGAAACCAGGCAGAGTGCAGTGGCTGGCTCACACCTGTAGTCCCAGCAGCTCCGGAGGATCCTGAGTTCAAAGCCAGCCTAAGCAATTTAATGAGGCCCTAAACAACTCAACAACTCACTGAGACCCTATCTGTAAATAAGATATTAGAAGGGGCTGGGGATGTGGCTCAGTGGTTAAGCGCCCCTGGGTTCAATGCCTGGTACCAAAAAAAAAAAAAAAAAAAGAGAGAGAGAGAGAGAGAAATCAGTAATAGGAAGATATCTGGAAATCTCTAAATATCTGAAAATAAACATAAATTTCCCACACAACCCTCAGAACAAAGTAAGTGTCATATGGAAATTAGAAAATATTCTGAAGTGAATAAAAGTAACTATGTAACATCAAAATTTGGGGAATTCTGAGAAAATTTTAAATTTGTATCATCAAAGAAGAAAGTTCTCAAATAATCTTACTCTCATTTTAAGAGACCAGAAAAAGAGGAGCAAAATAAACTCAAAACGAGCAAAAATAAAAACAATAAAATAAAATTTAAAAATCAACAAAATAGAAAATAATAAAACAGAAACAAATTCTCTGAAAAGATAAATTGATAAACTTCTAGCCAGAATGAGTAAGATAAATAAGACACAAGTGAGAAACATTCCCAATGACTGAAATCACCACAAACCCCAAATACTTCACTTAGAAAGGTAACAAAGGAATACTGGATAGAACTTTTTGCCTATAAATTCAATAATTTAGATGGAAAAGATAAATTCCTTGAAAAACACTAACTATAAAAGCTCATTAAATTAGAATAAAAACTGGCATATTCGGGCCCAGTTGCCTTCACTGGCCCTATTACATAATGGAGAACTCATATCAGCGCTTACAAAAATTGGGAAGAAACACTTCTTTATCTCGTTTCATAAAGCCAGCAGTAGCCTGATACTAAAACCAATACTAAAACCACACCAAAAAAAAATCCTAAAAAACCTAATAAACAACATCTCTCATGAGATTATTTGCAAAATTCATGCTGCAAAATCAGTTGCAAAACTCAGATCGTATCCAATAATATACAAAAGGATAGTACACCATTACCAAGTAAGGTTATACTATGAATATGAGGATGGTTTAACATGTATGAAGAAAAACCATGAAATCATCTCAATATGCATAGAAAAAGCATTCAATAAAACTCAGCATCCATTAATGGTAAAAGTTAGCAATTTTTACTATTTATGAAATAAGTGAGTAAACAAATAAAAGGGAACTTCTTCAACCTAATAAAACTCCTACTTAATAGTGAAAATATGAATTTTCCCCTAAGATTTGGAACAAAGTATGAAAATATCCATTCTTTTTTTTAATATTTTTTTTTAGTTGTAGGTGGACACAATACCTTTATTTTATTTTTTTGTGGTGCTGAGGATCGAACCCAGGGTCTTGCATGCTAGGCAAACGCTCTACTGCTGAGCCACAACCCCAGTCCTGAAAATGTCCATTCTTACCAACACTATTCAACAATAAGCGGGATATTTTAGCAAGCATACGACAAAAATAAATAACAAACTAAAAAAGACATACAGGTTGAAGATGAAATCAACTTTTCCCTATTTGTAAATGTCATGACTATATAGAACATTACAAAGAATTTTTTAAAAAGCTACCAGAACCAATAAATGAGTTTAGCAAGGTGGCATGATACGAGGCCAATATATATACAAATTAAATTCTATTTCTATATTTAAGCAATAAACAGTTGGAAACCAATACCAAAAAAAGAGAGAGAGAAAAGAAACAAAAGAACACCAAAAACTATGAAACACTTACAAAGTACTGATGAAAGAAAAAAATGAAGATCTTAAGTATATGGAGAAATACTACAAAAGTACCAGGGATTGAACTCAGGGGCACTTGACCACTGAGCCACATCCCCAGCCCTATTTTGTATTTTATTTAGAGACAGGGTTTCACCACGTTTGATTAGCATCTTGCTTTTGCTGAGACTGGCTTTGAACTCATGATCCTCCTGTCTCAGCATCCTGAGCCGCTGGGATTACAGGCATGTGCCACTGTGCCCAGCCTGGTTTTGAATTAGAAGATTTAATATGGTTAACATACCAATTTTCCTTCAGACTGATCCATATATTCATTGTTTTGTATTTTCAATGAGATAAATTTTGATAAAATGTATTTTTACTGTAAATTATCGACTTGATTTATAATTTCATATTTATTTGCATAGAGGTCATGAGAGTACTTTTAAAAAACATTTCTTTGGTATCCATGGTTATTTCTTTCTTGTTAATTCTGATTTTGTAAATTTCTGCTTTCTTCCATTTTGATGAAATTACTTTAGAGTCTACCTTGTAATTTTTTACTAATAGATCTACTTTTCTGTTCTCTTCCTCAAATCAAATTTGCCTTATATTTATTGTTTCCTTCCATCTGCTTCCTTCTGGTTTACTTTGTTAGTTTTCTAGTTTTTTTTTTTTTTTTAAACTTGTCACTTTTATTTATAAAAGGGTGTGAGGCTACAAATTTTCTTTTGATTACCACTTAAATGTATTCCATAGAATACAAACTTGTAATTTATTGTTGTTTTTCTAATTTACAAAGGTCAAAGGTTTATTTAGATTTTATAAGTTTTTAACTAATTCTTCATTTTCAGCTGTCTTCTCTAGGATCCCATCCAGAATAGCATACAACATTTAGTATACTTAGTATCATATTTCCTTATACTCCTCTTAGCAATTAGCTTCTCAGATTTTCCTTGTTTTGGTGATCTTGATATGTTTTTTGTTGGTGGTGGTGGGGTATGTGTGTGTGTGTGTGTGTATGATACTGGGGATTGAATCCAAGGCATTCTATCACTGAGCAGGCCTTCATTACTTGAGAAAACAACACCCTTGAGAGTACTGCAAAATGATTTTTCCCTCTTCTCTTGCTAGAAGCATGATGGGATTTTTCTCAGGTCTTCAACTTATAAAGGTGGCCATACTCCACTTGGACATAAAATGCACAGAAATGTGTGGGGCCTTCTTAGATGTCCCTGTGAGTTTAAAATCCAGTCTCCAACAACTAGTCAATTATATTCTAAGTGCTCTATCAGTTCTGGTAGTTTATGCTTCTGGTAAGTTGTGATTCTCTGAATTCACCTGTCTCTCTAGTTTTCAGAGCAGCAGACCTATATTATCTGGTAAATCTAAGAACAGTTACTGATTTTTCCGTTTTGTTTTATTTTGTTTTTTTTCTTATTAGGAAATGGGAATGACAGTTTTTAAACTCTTCACATGCCAGAGCAGAAAATGGAAGTCACAAAAGGTACAGATTCATTTTTCTACTATTTCTTTCTCCCAAAGTAGTTAGTGTACATTAAAAAATGGAATGTGCTAGAAGTAAAAGACAACTTAAACAGTTTATTTAAATGTGAGAGAAACATTAATCATTAGACTGTATTATGTGCCATTCCTTCATTAAAACTATTCTAGTTAAATAGGCTGTGATCCAGTTTCATGCAAAGCAATCAGAATGCTTTTACTATGAAATAACTCTTGCAGTTGAACTTTTTTATTTCCATATTAGGATGCCAATATATTCATTCCTTTAATATACTTCATCATATTTATAAATATTTCATTAAAATTATAGCATGTTATTAATGTATAATACAATTTATAAATCAATACTGGCAATGTACAAGCCAATATGTTAAGATAAAAAGGGGTTATTACAAATCCTTTTGATCTACATATACATTTTTCAGAGGTTTAACACTCGCTATGCAGTTTGTATGTAGTACTTATAAAGAAAGATAGCAGAGAACTTACTAGAAACTAATGTTGAAAAAAAGTTCAAATAGAACTAGTTAAAGAATATGAACTTTATTCTGAAAATAATGGGGAGCTTTTAACCAGGAAAGTATTTATGTTTTATAAAAATTATTTCATTTAATTCCCTTCATCGAATTAATTTTAAAATTTATTTATTATGTTTAGTCCAACTAGAATGTAAGGTCTGCAAGCCTACAGATCATATATAGATGTCTTATTATTATATCTCTGATGTCTATATGATGCCAGGTGCAGCAGGTAAGCAAACAAACAAAAACAGTCCAGATCCAGTCTCCTCCAACTAGTCAACTATCATCTAAGTGCTCCTATCAGTTCTGGCAGTTTATACTCCTGGTGCATGAATTTACATAAAGAACTAGTTGAGAGGCCTTAAAAAAAAAAAAAGTGGCTAACAACTACCAATACCACAACAAAACAATTAAGGTTGTGAACAAACAAATTGTTATTGAGGGCATGAATTGACCAGTCTAAGAAATATTAAGAGAACTGGTGACTGAAAGGATATGAGCAATGAGGAAAAATAAATGTAAAAACCAAAATTAGACATGAATATTTATTGATTTCACAGATTACCACAAAGCTACAATAATAAAGACAACATGAGGACAGATAAGCAGATCAACAGAAGAGACGTTGAGAATCTAGAAACAAAGCATGTAATTTATGTTCAATTGATTTCTGATAACTGGGCTGAGTTCAATATTGGGAAAAGAATAATATTTCCATAAATGGTGCTTGGATAACTAGATAGCAACATACAAAAAATAAATAAAATGAACTTGCACCCTTAATTCTTAACATACGCAAAAATTCCAAATAGGACTGGAGGCACTGGGTTCAATTTTGAGCACCACATATAATAAATAAAATAAAGGTCCATTAACAACTAAAAAAAAATAATAGATTATTCTTCTAAAAACTAAATTTATAAAATGCTTAGAAAATATAGGTGTAAATCTTTATAACCTTGGATTAAGCAATATTTCTAAGATACAACACAAGAAATAAAATTAAAAAATAAAATGGACTTCATCAAAACTTTAAGTCCTTATCCATGCTAGGCAAGCATTCTACCATTGAGCTATAACCCCAACCCAATTTTTGTACTTTAAAGGACACCAAAAGGATGGGTGGGTGAGAAAACCTCAAAGAATAGAATAAAATATTTACAAATCATATATCTGATAAGGAACTTGTATCCTGATTATTTCAACTCAATAATTTAAAAAACAAATAACTCAATTAAAATGGGCAAAGGACATGAAGAGATGCTCAACATCATAAGCCATTAGAGAAATATAAATCAAAGCCACAGTGAGATAACACATTATACCCATAGAAGGGCTAAAATAAAAAGAGATAATAGCTAGAGCTGATAAGGATATGGAAAAACTGGAACTCTCAATTATTAATTGCAAAATCATACAGTCAACATGGAAAACAATTTTTAAAAAGTTACTATGTGACTCAACAATTCTAATCCTACATATACACACAAAAGATGTAAACATGTACTCACACAAAAGCTTGTAAATGAATATATGTGGAAGAATTATTCATAATAGCAAAAACAGGAAACAACCCAAATATCAACTGATCAATAAATAAACAAAATGTGGTATATCTACACAATAGGTATTATTCTACCATAAAAAGAAATGAAGTACTGATACACAATGCAACATAGATGAACCTTGAAAGTTCAATCTTTCATTATGCAAAGCGAAAGAAGCCAGACATAAATGGAAAATATTTCCATTTACATGAAATTCCCAGAATAGGCAAATCCATAAAGACAGAAAGTAGATTAATAGTTGTTTAGAGATGGAAGGTAACAAGGAGCGGTTACTAATTGGATACAGGAGTTTTCCGGGGGATGATGGAAATATTCTAAAATAAGATAATGGTAATGGTTTCACAACTCTGTAAATACACCAAAACCAATGACTGAATCTTATGGTATGTAAAATGTATTATAAAAATTGTTATTAAAATATGTGCATGCTCGCTCGCTCTCGCGTGCATGCGCTCTCTCTCTCTCGCTCTCTCTCTTCTCTCACAATGCTTATGCAATTTTGAATAGATCATTGTTCCCCAGGTGCCTTTCAGTTGTCTGATGAAAATTTCTCAGAAGATTTCCACAAATAAAGACATGCAAAACCTCCTCCAAAATTATAAATATAGGACTAATTGTTAATTTAAGGAATTATTAAAATATTAAGTATTTGAAGGTCACAAAAGTATCAACATCATAGTTCAATTTCCCTTCATTCTTCTATCAAGTATTTTATACATGGCAAATATCCAATAAATGTTTATTCAAATCAATATTCAAAAGGAGAGTAAGAATTTACATGTTCAGAAAGAAGTACTCTTAATAGTGAGCCTTTCCAGATGAATACTGACCTCTGAATTTCATCTCTTTATTTAGTGTTTCACCTGTTTGTTTAGGAGGAGAGATTTGAGAAATCTTCAGAACATTACCCCTAATAAAATACTATACCTTCCTGCATTTTTTAATTAAAAAATGTTCTTCATGCAGAAAACCTTTACAGAAAGGGTTAAAGCAGAACATAATAAGCATCCTGCTGTCCTCTTGGATCAGGAAATACAGTAATCTGATCAATACTTAGTTACTATATATAGATTAGCACTTGTTAAATGAACTGAAACAAAATACATAATACATTGACCAAATTATTATCTTTTGTGATAAGTCAGAAAACATTTTGATTTCTTGCACTGCTTTAGAATCACTGTTATGACCAACTATCATTATATTCTATGTTGGGCTATTTTTGTACATCCTTTTAGTAAGAAAGTTTCAGTTGAAATAATGCCTAGTAGATTAACTTTGATTACAGGACAATAAAAATTGACACTTTAAGCCTGAATGCTGAATATCTTAGAAAAAGAAAAAAGAGAAGAACAAAAGGAATAAAACATTCAGTTCACCACTAAGTCATTACAGGAAACAAACAATAACAACAAAACCCTGAAAACTATGAGAAGGAAGGTGGCATTTAGGAATTCCTACAAAGGGGAGGGGTCAAAGAGAAGTTTCACACAGCCCTTCTAATGTTTATTCCTGGTGGTATGTAAAAGGATGAAGAAGAAAAAGATCTCTGCAAATACTGGTTTGATGAAGACATAATGACAAATCCATTTATCATTCTGTGTCTCTAATGGTGTTCAATCTGTTATCTGAAACAGATAACCATTTAGGCCAAGCACAAGTGGATGCTCCTTTAGGTGTAAAATCACAATAACATCTCTATGTGGCCTGGATCAAACCTGCAAGTGTCCATGTGTGGCCAATTATACCTTTAAGAAAATACTATTGTACATCAGGAAACATACATGACCCAAAATAACAAGATTACTTAGTAGAATAAGAAATATAATTTCCTAACAAGTATAATAGCAAGTCTACAGGAAATCATATGTAGGGTTCAATAATCTTACAAACTAACTGTTTAAGTAAACAGAATTTATGCCCTGGAATGACATTAACTACATTAAATGAAGCCAAATTTAGCTTCCTCTTTCTCATTCTCTTCTTTCTCTAACCAGCTTTGAGAAAGGCAGCTATAAATGTTTCTTTTCAAAAATCAACTCAAACATATTTTTAAAAACTAAGATTGGTGGCCAGGAAGGCCTGCCAGACATTTGTAAGAAATGTCCTCTCTGATTTTACAGGAAAGATGCTAAAGGACAAATTCAATAAATGTGGCCATGTGCTGTAAGCCAACATCAAAAAGGAGAATGGGAAGTCCAAGGGATGCAGTGTGGTTAGTTTGAGTTGCCAGAGGGGCCAAGAGAGCCTATGGGATGATGAATGGCAGGAGACCAAGTGGCTGTTAGACTGATATTTAAATCAATAGAAATGTTTCAGTAGTTGCCTTCATTAAACATCAATTCCAAACCTCTGAATTTGTATTTTTTTCCTTGTTAACCAATTTAATTTGTTGGCTGGATGAATAAAGATGTTTAAAAATTTCAGTTGCTTTCCAGGGTAATGTGAATTGCTTATTTATTTATTTATGACAGTGGAATGCATTACAATTCTTATTACATAGATGTGAACTGCTTTTTTAAAGACTGGGGTTCCATTTAATTGTTTGCATTGAGATTGCAATGTATATATATTTTTTCTGTTATTGGGGTATCTTGTTGACAACAAATGACTCTGATAATATCAATTCCTGAAAAGAAAACTGAGATTGCACTAATTAGTTAATAAATTAGTTTCATGTATTTATATGGAAAAGAATCTGATATTGAAAATAATGATCTACTTTTCTTCCAGGTTCCCATATACAAGAATCAAAACAAATTACAAAGAATATTTGTATAATGATGAACAGCAAACTTAAAAATTCAGAATTCTACAGGGATGGGAATGTAGCTCAGTGATTAGAGCATTTGCCTCTCACATATGAGGCTCTGGGTTCAATTCCCAGTACTGGCGGGGGAAAGCCTCTGTTTATTAGATATATGCAGAAAGTTTATAATGTAAACAGTTTTACATTGGGGATGTAGATTTCAATTTAAAAAATAAAAACAAATTGACAAGTTGTGCCGCAGTCTGGCTAGGCACAAAATCACGAGCCACTCAAGCAGGAACAAACTTTATTTTTTGAAACTACCGCCAATGTTCTGTACGCCCCCCCACCCCCAAGATCGCTGATCCACACACGCGGCCTTCTCCCGGAACCCCCAGAGGAAGTTCCTCCCCCGGAACTCCCTCCTACTGTACTTCCCCAACCAATGGGAACTCTCCAGGAGTCCCATAGCAGGCCAAGGTGAACAGCAGGAGTCCAATATCCATATGAATGCAAATCTTAACATAATCATATCATCTCAATGGCTAGCTGGCGTCACCTTTCAACCAAAAATGCCATGTATCATATACTTGGCTGACTCTTAGCAAAGTTGATCCTATATTTAAATGTATATGAACACGTTACAGAACATTGTTCTGTGTTCTACTAAGGCTCATGGGAGGATGAGGCTTACATTTAACTCATCAACACCACTTGACAATTTTTCATTTTAGGGTAAAACCTAATACAGAATAGGAAGGTATCCCAAAATCCAATATTTCAATCTCCTCATTTTACAAAAGAACAAACTAAGACTAAGACAGTTAAGTAACCTGCCCAAAATGCTTGGTAATCTCATAATTAGGACATGGCACAGTGTTGGTTGTAACATTTTAATTTTAAAGCTAACTAAATCACATTCGGCTAAAAAGGAAAATTAAGGCTCAATTAGTTTTTGTTCTTTCATCAGAAAGTTATTTTCTCGGTTTTGAAGAGAATATGAAGATCATTTAGACATCACATTTGGTAATAAAGGAAGCCTTCAAATTATTTCCTGAGTACCTAAAGCAATGTAAATATTAAACCAGGAAAGTCCAAAGCTAAGATTCTTCTGACTATCTCATATATTAATTTCATCTGAGAAAAAGAAAACCATATTGGAACAACCGAAAAACTTAATCTACAGGCTGCTTTATCCTCAAATAAGTCTGACAGTTTTGTTAATTTTCTACCAATCACTGCAATCTGCTTTGGTATTCTGACCACTGTGAACTAGACATTCCCAAAGAGGATCTGATTTGACATACTTATAAGACCCTGACATCTGGAAACTTCACTGTTCCCCAGCTTCTCCCCAGCACTTATGAAAAAGACCGGAAAGATAAGTTGGCTATTCTGGAGATGAGATGACAGGCCTGCAGATGCACCTATGGCCTCTGACCTGCCAGCAGAATTCTCACTTACATGATCAACTAAAGTAGCAGCCTGTATTTCGAGAAATGTTAGTAGTTTTCATTTAAATGAACTTTATCTAGAAATCCTGGTATGATACAAATAAACTGCTCAAAAATTTTAACTTATTATTGATGACATCATTATTTTTATATAAATAAAAAAGAAAAAATAAGATTGGGACTATAGCTCGTGGTAAAGTGCCTCTAGGTTCAATTCCTCATATCCCTCCAAAAAAAAATTTTATATAACCCCCCCTATATATGTACACACCCCACAGGAGCATGCAGAGAGACAAGAACTCATGCATTGCTGATAGAAATGCAAAATGTTAATAGCCACTTTGGAAGACACTTTGGCAGTTTCTTAAAAAGTTAGACATAACCTTTCCAATTAACCTAGTAATAATACTTTTGGATATTTACTGAAAAGAACTGAACTTATATTCATGCAAAATCCTATGTGTGAATTTTTTACTTCAGTTTCTTCATAATCACCAAGAACTAGAAGCAACCAACCTGTCTTTCAAAAGGGGAAAGGGTAAACAAGCTGGTATATCCTTGCAATGTAATATTATTCAGTGATACCAAGGAACAACTTAAGATTCACAAAAGAAGGGTGAATCTTTTCTTTTTTAATAACTTTGTTTTATTTATTTATATGCAGTGATGAGAATCAAACCCAGTGCCTCACACATGCCAGGCAAGTGCACTACAGCTGAACTCCAGCCCCAGCCCTACTTTCACTCTTTTTTAAAAAAATTTTTTTAGTTGTAGATGGACACAGTACTTTTATTTTATTTATTTATTTTTATGTGGTGCTGAGGATTGAACCCAGTGCCTCATACATGCTAAGCAAGCACTCCACCACTGAGCCACAACCCCAGGCCCCCCACTTTCTCTCTTAACATCTGTAACTGTTAAAAATCTAGAGAAAGCCAGGTGCGGTGGCACATGCCTGTAATCCCAGTGGCTCGGGAGGTTGAGGCAGGAGGATCATGAGTTCAAAGTCAGCCTCACCAAAAGTGACTCACTAAGCAACTCAGTGAGACTCTGTTTCTAAATCAAATACAAAATAGAGCTATGGATGTGGCTCAGTGGTCGAGTGCCCCTGAGTTCAATCTCCAGTATTAAAAAAAAAAAAAATCTAGAGAATAGGGGCTGAGAGTGTAGCTCAGTGATGGAATATGTGGTCCTGAAGTTTCTAGGTTCAGGAGGTCCTGGATTTAATCCCCGTCAAAATCTAGAAAATAAGAAAGGAGTTTGTGTTATTCAGTCACCAATGAAAATCTAATTGGATCCCATTACTATGAAAAAAGAAATTAACTTTTTTTTTTTTTTGCAATTGCTAGCAACACAAAAAATTTTAAAAATGTTATAAATAAGATTACTTTAACTGATAAGAGAGAACAAATGCAGAAGATAATTTGTGATTAAAAGATTTTTTAATACCATTCAAGTTTTATTTTTAAAGGCTTACATATTTTATTCATGTGGAAGAGATAAGAACATGGCTAGTGAAAAAGAAATCCCACCTTACTCATGAGACTAGTGGTGAACTGAACACTAGATCTTACAGTCCATGAGAGATAAGAAAGAAACCAAACGGAAGATTTTAATACGACTTTTAATGTCGAGAGAGAGTAAAAGAAGATACTAAAACTGACTAGCCTCCTTCTATCTTGGCTAGAAGAAGCAGACTGTACTTTTAAATTAACCCTTTGTATAACTTTGTCTGCTGTGGTAAGTGCTAATAACATTCTTCTTAGAGAGTTCCAACTGCCAAAAAATAATTCCTATTCACAGCAGGGGGAAAAATTACACAGTAGATACAAAATTTATTTATTTATTTATTTATTTGAAAGCAAATATTCTTGATGTTTTTCTCCCTTCCACAGCAGTATGAAAAGGACTAGTGTTTTAGGGAGTTTTAGGAACTTCTGATATACTAATATGGTATAAGTCCATGTTTCCTTTGTGGGGGGCAATAAACTAGAATTACTGCCAAATTACTTTCAGTGTCCAATATATCAAAACATAATATAACTAAACCTAATATGCTATAACAAATATTATCCTTAGTTTCCTCATGAAATTCATGTTAGCCATTCATTTATTCAATAAATACTAACTTATGCTTCTTATGTGTAGGCACTTTTGGATGTTTCATGTTTGAAAAAATTATCCATGTTCATTATTTTAAAATCCACGCAATTCAAACAAGTGCAAAAATGACAAAAACATCACCCTAGAACCTATTGCCTAGCATTTAACATTTGGTAAAAAACCACCAAGGCATTTCTCTTCACTGGACATGTTTGCATGTATTTTTTAAAACAGTTTATAATTTAGTTGTAGTTGGACACAATACCTTTATTTTATTTATTTATTTTTATGTGGTACTGAGGACCGAACCCAGTGCCTCACACTTGCTAGGCGAGCACTCTACCACTGAGCCACCACCCTAGCCCCTGCATGTATTTTATAAAAAGTACTTTTATCACTTTTCAAATGAGAAGAGTTTCTTTAAAAATAAGCATAACCCAACTCTGAAGTTTGAATTTCATACCAATATTAATTCTAGACTCTTTTTTTTTAACAATCTGCAAATTAAGCTCTACTATTTCCCATCAACTGAAACATATCTAATAAAATCTTTCTCTAATTAAAAGTCAAAATTCAAGATGAAAACAAACATAGGTATACATGCTTTAATACTGGCTAAATTTATAACTATCTGTGTGAAAAAAAAAAACTAATCATAAGGCAGCAGCTGTGCTTATACTGAAGTAGATTTCATTTGACTGTCTTTTTTTTTTTTGACTGCCTATTTCTACTTAGCCCATAGGAAATAAAGTGGCCAGATATACACACACACACACACACACAATTTTAAATCACCTTAAAGGAGAAGGGAGAATTCACAAAGCAGTTGCACATTTTTGTTGACATTTAATTCCATGTTCATCTTTAATATTCTAAAAGAAAAGTTCTCATTTTCTTAATAAATACAACTTTAAAGTAACTTAAATATGAATCGTTAGCTTAAATCTGAGAGTGAAAAATGACCACAACTAAGGTTCTCATAGTATCTAAATTTTTAATGCAGAAATAGAGTCAA